AATTGCTGCCACTATGAGAACTTCTAGTGCGTAGGATATCTTTCTTTTTGATACTTTCATCCAGTACTTGTTAGGCTTGTGACTTGATATTAAAAAATTCACACTTCAGAAAGCCTGTAGTGGCATAGGACTGGCCCTAGTTTACCATTCTAATATGTGACCCTTTAACTGTGTGAATTTGATAGGAATATTTGCGTCCTCAACACCTTGAAATTTTTGTTTCTCTTTAAGGTTCCAATACCACGATTTGCTGTAGGTATTGTAATTGGAAGAAATGGAGAGATGATAAAAAAGATACAGAATGATGCAGGTGTTAGGATCCAATTTAAGCCAGGTAGGTGATATGTCCATACGTTTCTGTGAATTGAGTGTAAATGTACTGGATTACATATACTGGAATAGTTCATTTTTATTCCAGATGATGGAACAACTCCAGATAGAATAGCCCAAATCACAGGGCCTCCTGACAGATGTCAGCATGCTGCAGAAATTATTACAGATCTTCTTCGAAGTGTTCAGGTTGGGTACTATGTTGTTTACCATTTAAAATCTCCTGCCTTTTTGGAAAGATTTTAAAAAATGAATGTGTAGCTAAAGAAAATAATGCTGCCATTTGAATCTACTTCAAAGTTCAGTATGGAATATGAATGGTTTTGCTTTTACAGTTAAGAGTTTTGCAAGTTTTAAGGATGATCATGATAATACTGATTCAAAGTCATGGCAATTCTTGATCTGGCTGGTTTGAGATGCTGCTTCTGTTGCCTTGTATTAATAGCTGATACATTGTAATTTTGTGTTGTAATGGGTGTTGAAAAGATGGTTCAAATGTTTATTTTTAGATGAGCCCCCCCACTGCATTTACAGAAGGCAGACAGAAATTATATCTTTGTGCATGTGAAACTTCCTACTTTCTTATGTATACTTTCTTTCTTCATCTTTCATATGAAGAGTTGTACAGAACATCTTCTAAAATGTAATTTAGGGCTTCTGGAAAAGATAATACTTAAAACTGTCAAAACTATTTGAGTAGTAAATCAGGTTTTTTTTAATATTTAAACCCCAAAAGGCCACTTCCTAGGGATCCAAAATAGCAGGATATTTTATCTTATCCATATAGAGACAGTAAATCAACTCTTCTTTTCTAGTCTTTTGATTTTGGTGGCATGTGAATGTAAAACTGTACTATCATTCTTTACTTAAGTAACTTTCATGCTATAAAAAATGACTGGTTCCACAGATTTTTTTCTATTTTTTTTTATTTTCCTTATATGGGTGTCAGTACATTAGCTAACTGATTCTGAATAAAATACAACAGCTTTTCAGAGTTTTCAGAGCGTGGTTCCACTTCACCAACATTAACTTTGGCCTTGAACAAAAAAAAATTCCTCTACATTCAGATCAAGTAAAGTAAGAATTTGTCTCATAAGTCTCATTCAATAGATTTTTTTTTTTTTTTTTTTTTTGGGCAGAATGTGATTTTCATTGGTAAGTTAATTATTAATAGAAGAAAAACCACATTATGTTTAATTTAAACTCCTGAGCCATGTTTTTCTTCTTTCTTTGCCTAAGTGTACTGATCATTGTAGTAAGAAAGTAACTGATACTTAATGACATCGTTTGAAATCACACCATCAGTAGAAAAATAGCATGGAAACAGGTATTTCTGCTTGTAAAGATTGCCTCCATTTTCATATGGCACACAGTAAATATGTTTTTGTACACAGCCTTACACACAAAGTTTTTTTTTTTATCTTGTTCACAGTTGCTATTTAATCAATAATGCACGGGTACAATAATGTTCTGCAGCTCAGTTTAACCTTTTACCATCTCCCTTTGTGAAATATTTAGAACTAAAATTAATTGAACTACTCATTATTAATGTTATCTGTAATTTAATTCCCTGTCTCTTCAGAAAATTGTATGTGAACATGTCTTATTTTCTTTCAGTGAATTATTAGTATACAAGAATAATTTAGACAGATCGTTTTCATCCTAATTTGCACATCAAAGTATTTACTGTTTGTGTTGTGGTTTTAGTTGTCAGTTACATGAAATTTTCTCTGCTCTTTGACTACATAGCTGAAATTTATGAGAGAGTAATAACAAATAAGTGCATAATGGATAATATTTATTGGATGCACATTTTGTGACAATGCTAAAATGCATTAAAATTTTGAAACCTGTGGACTTGTTCATAGCAAATCACTTGTCCTGATAATCACAAAAAGCTAATCACCACCAACAAGCAAATGTAATACAACACTTAAACTGAGAAGTGCTCTCATTTCTTAAAATGTATGCCGGGGGGGGTGGGGTGTTAATGCAATTTGTGGAAAAATCCATTTTTGCTTGTATAATTCTTAATTCTTCAAGAAAGAGCTGAAATAAATGCAGCTTTATAGTTGCTGTTACTACTGTGGCTGCTTTTAGCTCTCATCTTTAACTAGCCATAAGCATATGAATCTTTTTTAAAAACGGCTTGTTTTCTCCAGGGAAATGTCTGTCTTTAAAAACAATCAAACTTTTTAGATGATACTCTTAAAATGTTCAGATTTATACTTCTAAGCTGCTGGAAAATGGGGAACTTCAAGATTTATTTTTGTCTGTGTGCTACTCTTGTTACAGGGTCCAGTAAATCCATTGGGTCCACCTGTTCCCCATGGACCCCATGGTGTTGTTCCTGGCCCACATGGACCTCCTGGGCCACCAGGTCCTGGTGCTCCCATGGGACCATATAACCCAGCTCCTTATAATCCAGGGCCTCCTGGCCCTGCACCTCAGTAAGTACTGCTTCAGCTACCTTTTTTGTAGGGTGACCCTGAGACTGGCTTTCACTGTAAATGCATGACTTGATCTTTTGTAGTGGTCCTCCAGCTCCATATGCTCCACAGGGATGGGGAAATGCTTATCCACACTGGCAGCCACCAAATCCACCAGATCCTGGTAAGAAATGTCACAGTTGAATACATCTATTTTGTCCTTACAAGTATACACTTTCCACAGTTCATGTGTGTTGCACTGGTAAATCTAATAGAGCTCCTATTCAGGCTTTTCCTTACTGATTGTCAGCTTACATATGTTTTGTGCTTTCCACATGTGGCTTGTGAGATATTGAAATTTAGTTGTTACAGTTGGAATATACTCTTTACTAAATGTTACTGATACTGCATCCCAATTTATTACAATTTTTGCAAGACTCTTCCTTAACTGATTGCGTGCAAATCAGTTCATTTTTCTTACAACAGATGCTTTTACATAAATTTCTTCAATGAGGATGTTTTCATTCTATAATAGGCAGTGACTTTGTATTTTCTTTTAAGCAGTGCCCCTTACAATCTCACTGATCCTGACTTTGCACAGTGTATGCTGTATATTTCTAGCTAGCTTATGCTATATATTTCTAGCTTTTGTTGACCTATGTGAGGATTGATTCTCAGCATCTTGATACAAATAGATTTTGTTCAGTCCTTTTTGAGGGATAACATTTCTGTTTAATGCTGTTAATACAGTAAAACTAATCAGGATTGTGGATGTTGAGCCTTTGCTTGTAATAGTTCTGTATTTTCTTCTGAAACCCATCTTTGTAGAATCTGTTTCTTCTGTTTCTGTTCATCTTTGTCAAGACCAGAAGTTTTTACTTAATTATGACTTCCCAAAGTTGTAGTATCCTGCTTTTCTTTAAGTTACATCCTTTGGTTGGACTAGAGCATATGGGGAAACGGAACTGCAGTCAAAGGCGGCATGGTAAGGCTAGATGCTTGAGTCACTTGTACCTCATTTGTTTGAGGTAGAACTTCTTGAGAACTTCCGCCAAAAGATATCAATTTTATTTTTGTTTATAAACAGAATAAATATTTTCTGATATCCACTGGTCCTGATGCAAGTTCTGTTAGTGAAATAGCGGAGGGCTTTGGAGGATGTTAGAATCTACAAAGAGTTAATGTTCAAGTCTTTAATATATCCTTTTTTGGCCAAGAGCCATCTCTGGTTTCAGTTCTGAAACTTTTATAGAAGGTAGCTCTGCATGCATTCAGTTTAGTATTTTTAAAATGCCTATTATTTAAAAGTAAAATGTTTCAAAGGGACTTGACTTAAAGTCTCAGCATAATAAAAAGTGTCATTTAATCCAGAACCACTGCTGAAATGTTACAGCTTTTTGCATACCACCTTTTTTTATAAAGTAATTTATCTACATAAAGATCTATAAGAAAAATGGCGAGTACCTTGATGTCATCTTGATGATGGTTTTATAACCTTTTTTTGATTAAATACTTCTCTTAAAAATCTTAAGTTTTCCTACATGCAGTTGGAAATTGGTGTTTCTTCCAATTAGCATTTATTTGGATGAGTTTTGTACAGTTTTCCACTTAGTTGCTCATTTTAGTGTAACAAATGGGTTATTTTAGTATTTTTTTTCAGGGGTGCTTTCTCCAGAACCATGCTTGCCTCTTGTCACGTGAGACTGGAGCTAGTTACTACAGTCAGATATTTTTTGAAATATAATGAATCCTGCTCTGTGGTGTTCTGTTCTAGAGAAGTAGCTACTAATGGGAATGAGGGGGGAAACCGAGCAGTGGCTTATTTGATATTTGAAGGTAACCTTAGAATATAGTACATGTTAGTTTAAATCTACTCTTGTTGTTGGAAGCAGTGTAACTTTAAAATGAAACAGCATGTTTAGGTTGTGGACTGTATGCTGATACTACTGTGTACATTTCAAGTGGTTCCATCTGACTTCAATGCTAAATGAAATACTGCAAGAAATTTGTTGTGTTGTGGATTTCTTATCTCTGAATGCCTTTTCCGGTAGATTTATTCTTTCTCTTCCATTAGTCACTCACTACCTTCCCTATTTTGTGTTGGGGGAAGTATACTTCCATTCCCATGTGTAGTTATTCTAAAATAACAGTTATGTCCTTATGTGAAGTTCTCTCCTCAGTTGGCTGCATTAATTTGCAGATACTTTTATTTTTTAAGGATGCAGATCATGTCAAAGGACGCTGATTGTGTTACAGAACATTTTTCCCTAACATTAAATTTGCAGGTTTTGTGGATTGCCAGTCTGGTAATGTAATAAATCACTGTGATTAAGGACAAATAAGCCATTCCCTAATTTGAAAAACAGAGATAAGGCTCTAGGAAGCAGCATTGTTGGCCTGCCTAGATGTAGTTAAAAATAAGGGAATTATGGAGATAGCTGCTGAAGATGTAAATGTTGCTAGTATTTGCTATACTAAAAAGCTGTAATTAGATAGTGATGCTTTATAGCCGTATGTTGGGTTTCATGTTTGTAGAGTACTATGTGTTTCTGTATTTTACCTTGAAGTTTAATTGACAAGCATTGCAAACACCTAGTAAGATTTGTGTTCTTCTGTTTCAGAAATATGTATTTGGCATGCCTCCTCCACCTGTGCCAGTGTCATTAGTGTGAGGTTGTACAAAAGTAAAACCACTGATGTTGTTTGGTGCTAGAATCATTTGTTGTTGCTACCATTTAGTTACATGACTGTTAACTTGAGAATTCGCTTCTGTTCATCATATATAAAGATTAATAAATGACATTGTAGTAGTGAGGTTTCTATCTGAAAGAATACTTTGTACAATACACGTGTCTGAAACCTGACCAAAAGTTTGTGCTAGAAAGAAGAGGTACTTACAGGATGTACATGGTTATTTTGTTCAGATGGAGGAAAACCTAAGTGCTTAGGACAGGGTTAACTTAGGGAACAGCATTCTGTTCATACTACTTTTATAAGTGCTTGGTTTGTTTTCATAGGTAAGCCAGGAACAGATCCCAACTCTGCAGCATGGGCAGCTTATTATGCTCACTACTATCAGCAGCAAGCACAGCCACCACCTGCAGCCCCTCCTGGTGGACCAGCTACAACCCAAACCAATGGACAAGGTAGCTGTTTAGTAAAATGGCTTCATTTTTCATTGCTGGTGGTGTAGATGCCTCATTTTTTTTTCATTGTTGTCTTCATATATTGGGTAATTTTATTGTAAGGTAGCTGGTTTTCTTGGAAAACATGCTAATGGCCTTCAACATCGCTTTTTTAAATTTCAGCGGTAATGAGGGTAATGTATTTCTGTTGTAATATACTCCAAAGAGAATTTTGCTGCAACTGGAGTTGACTCAATTACTCCTGCATAGTGCAGTCAGTCATAAGTAAATCTGGAATGAGCCAAACTACTGTCATTTGCTTAAACAGTTGCATCACTTCTAGTGGTTTTAGAACAATTATGGTTGTAGCATTTAGTTGTATTTGTGTAATTGTTGTGTCTGGATGAGGCTTACCACTTAAATTTTAGGTAGTATTTTGTACTGTGAGTCGTGTGTGTTTCCTGAATCTTGAAAACATGCTGAACACTTTAAAGAACTCTGTTTCTTTGTGGGGTCTTTTACTAATTGCTTATATTTGTAGTAGCTTGTACCAGTACTATGTAGGTTTATAACGTCAGATTTCACTGAAGTTACTTGGGATTGTTACTGAAAAATTCCAACTGATTATTTGTAAATTGTTCCATGTATGAAACAAAACCCAATAGTTTTGACTTTTTTAAATGTAATTCAGGAGATCAGCCAAATCCAGCACCAGCAGGGCAGGTTGACTATACGAAGGCCTGGGAGGAGTACTACAAAAAAATGGGTATGTGTGCATGTGTTTTTCTGTTGCATAGCAAGTCTCCTAGAACATTTTACTATCTCATTTGAGATGGGGTTTTTTACCCCCAAAAAATGAAAATGCATAGTCATGTTAGGAAACATATCCTGCTAGGGGCCTTGAACCCTGCAGAACAGCAGACTTAAAAGTTCATGTTGTATTTTAAGGCATTTACTGGTATTTATGCTAATAGTTAGCTTTGTAGAAATACTTCATACCTAATGTGATGTCTACAGTTGATCACTGGGAAACAACATCCTTTAAATACTTCATTCTGAGTATTCTTAAGTATATTTTTTCAGTACATTTCTTAAGTATTGGAGTTCAGCTTCGATTTACTTTATGAAGCTATTGTTTGGTATTTGTTTCCTGATGCTCTTAAGATTACAGATTGTTTTTTTTTTTTTCTTGTAACTTGTTTTCTCTGTTACAGGTTATTAAATCATCGTAACTAGCTTTCATTTATACTGTGCCCTTTTTTTAAATAGTATTTGCAGCGCTTAAGAGCTCTGTTTAAACTGCAGGTTGTATGTTGCTTTTTCAAAATACTTTGCTTGAGCTGGCTTAGAAAACTGAAATTTATTTAAGTTGATGATTTCATCATTTGCTGAATAAGGAAGGAGTATGTGGTCTTGATGCATTGACAGAAGGTGCTGTTATCTTTTAAATCATGGGAATATCTTGCAGGTCAGTATTTTGTCCACAGCGTTGTCACATGGATATTGCAGTTGATGTAGGCTTGTGTACTGAGGACTAGTGGGCTTATGAGTGCCAGTGCTTCCCTGATGCCTCTGACCACACATACAGCAGCATCTTATTTGGATATTTCTGTTTGGGTGGGAGGTTTTGAGGTTTTTGCACTCTTTCAACTGCACTGTTTTCTCCTGGAATATTAAAAAGCATTTGGAGTTAAGATTAATATTGTGTTTAATTGCTCCTAAACCTTCTATCAGGTTGATCTCAAATTATTTGACAAGACATAACTACCTTTCTTCTTTTTTATTTTGGCATAGCATAAATGATTAAATGAAACCGAAAATATATAAGGATGATTTACTTCGAGTTGTGTATCAGACTAAGAAAATTGCAACAGAATTCCCAGACAAATGATTTTTAAGATGTGATGGGCCTTTCCATTTTTCCTCTTCCTGTTTCATTTAACTACTTTTCAATTTACTATCTGTTAGTTCAGCTCACATTACTCAGTGCAAAGTTGTGGGTGTTTTCACTGCTGTTTTTTTCACTGCCTTTTTAAGAATCATGTAATTTGTCTGAACTGCCATCTTTCGATTTTTCTGTCTCTAGAAGGCAAAGTCTTCTAGTTGCACTAGTCTTGAATTTACTCTAATTAAATAACAGGTAGTTTCAGGTGTTGGGATAGAGTTTGTGGAAGTGACTCCAAAGAGGAGTGTGAACCCAAAAAAGATAGACACTGGAAAATGGAAAGAATTGCTCTTACAAAGCAAAGTGAAAAAATCACCAGACAAGAGTCAAGTAAGAGGAAAAACAGAAGGGGAGTTCTGATCTTTATTTCTTTTTCTCGTTCGAGTTCTTTGCCTGAAGGAGTACTTTGGATATCTGGACCTGTGTAACTTGACTCTGTAAATCATGAGAACTTTTTGTTTCTTCAGCATGTTAAAAATTTTTATATGGAAGATAGCTTTTTATAAGATCCACTTATAAAAGAGGAAGAACTGACCAAGTGAAGGGCAGAGAATTAACATAGAGTTGATTTTAGTACTAAATGGAAGTGTTTTTCCCTGCCTCCTTAACAATGTTAAGACGACAAACAAGAAGGCTGTCCATAAGTAAGTTCCTGTGATCTCAAGGCTCTTACGTACAGCTGCTACTGCTTGTGATTCCTACAGTACTGTAATGCTTTTGTCCCTATCAACTTGCGTGGAAGGGGGAAGGCAGGCATTAGTCACTCTCTCTCTGACTCTTCTTTTAGATTTTTATTGCAGTACATTTAATTACACAAACAGCTGTTTTGCAGAAATGAACTGAAACTTGGCACTTGCTGAGCCCAAGCAGTTCTACTTTTGCTGCTGAAGAAAATTACTTTGATAATCCACATGGCAAGAGTGACAGTACTGAGCTGAACAAGTTGGATGTGGTACTGCAATTGGTGCTCTGGATTTTCCCATGCTTTAAGTACAAGTGATCTGAGAACTCTAAAGCACTCCTGAATATTCCCATCAAACCATAATACTGTTTTCCAGAGTGGCTTCCTACTGGTGCAGTAGGACTTGGCTCATCACAATTTTTTTTAAGCGTATAGAACAGTGACTTGAACATAAAGTGGCAAAGTCTCATTTCCTTTTTCAGACTTGTTGTTTTAGTCAGGGACTTTTGCTCTGAGTAGCAAATACAATTACTAGTAAGTATACTTAGTAGTATACTAATAAAAATAATTACTAATAAGACTGATAAGCTAGCAAAATTACTCATGCACACTGGTAAGCCACTGTACATAAATCTTGCAGGTAAGCCAGACCATCTATTTGGTACCCTACTTCATAAATTCAGAAAACTTGTTTTAAATTTCCCTTGAGTATTACCAGGTAACAAGACAGTAGTTTAGCTTTTGAAAATACATAGACTCTGTTATCTTGAGACATAGTATTTTTATTTTGCCCTACAAGAGCTGAATTAAATATTGGCGTAATCGGGCCCTAAAAAATCTCCCAAGGATAAGAGTTCCCTCTAAACATGAAGCCATATTCTAGTAAATGATCTATATGTCACCACAGGAGTCTGTAGATTTATCACTTAAAGTCATTCTAATATATTGTGGGCTTGATTTATAGTAAAGGGATTCCATAATAAAATAGTGGAACTGGTCTTTAATGATTTCCTCACCACTGCAGCAGGAAAGAGGACAAAGAACAGCTTTCTCTTACTAGAATCACCCATGATGACCTGAATAGTGGAAGAACTGTAGAATCATCGGGCATTTTCTTTCTTAGCCTTGCTTAATGGGGGAGGTATTCTCTGTTTCTTGTATTTCTCTGTATGTAGTTTATCAGTCCTGTTTGTTTGTGTTCCAGTTGAGTCTGAGTATTAATGAGCATGTACTGTTGCAGTGCAGTTCTGTACACTGAAAGGAAATTTTGACTGAACTGCTGGATTCCATGCGTAGGTTCAGAATTACTTGGAGTACACTTAGTAGGGGAATGATGCAGCTAAAATACATTTTTACTAAGCCATTTCAAGACAGAAGTCCAGTTTGACATCTTTGAGTAGATGTTAACCTTCCTATATTTTTCATTTTTATTTCAATTTCAATACTGCCTTGGGATAGCTGGCTGAATGTCAGAACATTCTTGGGTCATCATGCACAAAATATGCCTTAGCTTTGACATTCAGCTGTGCTGACAGCTATGACATAACTAAATAATTTGTAAGTAGAATTATTGTCTCATAAATTAATAGTTCTCTTGGTTTTGGCTGAGATAGAGCTAATTTTTTGTCCTCCCTAGTAGCTAGAGTAGTTCTGTGTTTCACATTCAGTATGGGATTTGATTTGAAAAAAATGTTGGTAATACACAGATGCTTTTAGTTCTTGCTAAGAAATCAAGGACTCTTCAACTTCCCATGTCCTGCCCACGCACAGAGGCAGCACAACCAGAGCAACGGACCCAAATTGGCCAATGATTCTATATCATACAACGTCTTGCCTAGTATATAGATAAGTGTTGACCGGGAACCTCACTCAGGCTTCCAGGACTGTGGTTTCAGGGTTCTCTTTCATGGGATCGCTAGCCGGGAACAGGCTGGACATCAGTCAGCCAGGTGGTGAGCAATCACATCATGCATTACTTGTTTGTATTTTCTATTATTACTATTTTCATTATAATTAATTGCTTTTATCTCAACCTTATGAGTCTTCTTACCCTTACCTCTCCAACTACCTACCCCATTCCCTGGGGTGGGGGAGGGTGAGCAAGCAGCTGCATAGTGTTTGGCTGCTGGCCAGGTTTAAACCATGATAATAAGGAACTTGCAAAAACTATATTCTGGGATAATTTGTAACCACATTAAAGATCACTTTGGTTAAAATAATTGAGCAACAATCTAAGTTGTGGTAAATTGCAAGTATAAATTGTAAAATGTGATTTGAGCTCTTAAGATTTGAGGACATTAAGCTTTTCAAGGAGAACAATTGCTTTACTGTACAACCCAAAAAGTGATGGAAGTGGTTTTTTAATGTATCTACAGTGTAAGTGGAAAAACTATGTAAGCTGTATAGAGGGTTGGAAAGCGGAAGTGTGTATTCTGAAGACATTCAGGATAGTGGTTTGCCAAATGTTCAGATGTCCTGCTCACACTTAAAGCTGTTGAGAGGATTGGGGGAATGTGGATAGCTGGTATTCTTCATGTGAATTTTCTTTGTAAAGGTGTTTTTAAAACAAAGCATCTCAACCTTCTATCTGATACCCTAGAAGACAGTTCATTAGAATCTTTGATACTCGTCTTCTCCAGAAGGTTGTTCAGTGGTCTTGTAGGATTGACAAACTTTGAGCCCTTGTGGAAACTGCACTTTTTTCTTGAAAGGAGAACACAAGATTAGGTGAACATGGAAATGTACAGGGTGCAGGCTTGCATTTTGTTTGTATTTATTTGGTGTTATATGGTTGGATGTGGTGTTTTGTGTTGATTTTTTTATTTTATTTTTTTAATTCCCTAGTATCCTAGAAAAAACTTGGAGGTGGTAGCTTTTCAGTAGTATCCTAATTCTGATTGTAAAAATAACCCTTTCAGAATATAGATCACAAAAATGTCATGTCACAGTAGTAGTGGGTTCTGTTTTGGAAGTTAGAGAAACTTAAAATGAAGCACTCCATATGAAACCCTTCTGTCTGGATACATGCAAGTGTGAGGACAGATGACTCAATAGAGGATAGGATGTGGTGTTCTCCTTAAAGTCAGCAACATTCTGCAGTATTAACTGTAAAAGCACGTTTCAGATAAAAAATTGTAAAGCAGATAGTGGTAATAAGTGGAGTGTGTTTATCTTCCTGGAATAAGAGAAAAGAAAAAGGAAGTAAACATGTTTACGACAAAACTTCCTTGGAAGGACAGCATAATGGAGGTCCTAAAAAGTTGGCTGTATTTTATTTTTTTTTTAATACATTAGAGGCCTTGTGTATTAATCTATTGCTTATATAGAGTTTCCATGCTTCAAGTTGATTTTTTTGGAAGGACGGGTAGTTCTCAGCTGTAAGTTTGGGGGAGCGTGTGTGTGTACACACTGTTATTTCTAGAGGATTGAAATTTAAGCAAAGATTGGAATAAGTTTCAGGACTATATTCTGTGGTGAAGTAAATGTTTACAAAAATGAATGCTCTTTTTGAAAAAATGCAATCTGCAGTAATTCAGCAATTGGATTAAGGAGGCCAAATATGGAGGGCTGAGTGAATTGTCATCTGGTGAATTAATTAATGCAGTCTGTACAATCAGATAAAGTCAGTCTAGGTGGATTACAAGAAGTAATCTTGTCTGTTGACCTGTACTTTAATTTAAATGCTACCAGTTGTTCAGATCAGTTTAGGTCATCAGTCTTTAAATACTTTTGCTCTGGAACATGATTGAAGAGATGGGAAAAAAAACCTGTCCTTAGGGTTGCTCAATTTTGCTTTACATGGGAATTATTACATGAAAATAGTAAATAGTATGAGTGATTAAGTAAAAAGAATAGCAGCCACAAAATTATTTAAAAGCCTTGGAGAAATACTGCAAGAAGCTAGGTGATGTTTCTTGGGCAGTGAGATTTTGAAATGTTCTCATTTCTATTGCAGCAACAAAGCTATATAATTTTAATTACTTGCAGGTCAAGCAGTTCCCGCCCCTGCTGGGGCTCCGCCAGGTGGTCAGCCGGATTACAGTGCAGCATGGGCTGAGTACTACAGGCAGCAGGCAGCATACTATGCCCAGACAAGTCCACAGGGAATGCCACAGCATCCTCCAGCACCGCAGGTATAAAGTTTAAGTGTTTTTTGGCTGCCTTCTGTTTCAGTGGTTATAGATATCTTTTTGCATGTCTCCTGCTTTGTTACCTTTGGAGTATGCATCTTTTTTTCTAGCGAAATAACTATCAGAATAATTAATAGATGACTTTGTTTACCTGATAACTTCAGTTCTGTATCTATCCATATGTTTGGTGATTGTTTTTTTTTAAGAAAAAAGAAAAACTTTCTCCTCCCAGGGTTTTGAAAACCATGCAAGAAGCCACCACCATTTACATTAACCAATTTTTCTTTCTTAAAGGCTTCACTCCTGAGTTAGCTCGATTTAAAGGATTTTCTTTAACTTTTTGTGTATCTCTTATGTATCTCTTCTGCACAGGGCCAATAATAAGAAGTGGACAATACAGTATTTGCTTCATTGTGTGGGGGAAAAAACCTTTGTTAAATGTATGGATGCAGACGCCTTGATGAAGATCTTAATTTTGTTTGGTTAAAAAAAAAATAGTGTTTTTGAAAATGTAAAAAAATATCTATCACTACTGATAGGAGGTAATATTTCTGTGTAGAAATGAAAAATGGTTTGTTTTTAGTATTAGTGTAGATGTACACATTCCAGCAAATGTATTTGCAATTACGTGGTCAATGCTTTGTGATATAAATGTACTTTTTCAATGTATACTTTATCACTTTTAAAATGCCTGTTTTGTGCTTTACAATAAATAATATGAAACCTCCTGTGTCGGTAAGTTGGATATGTGGGTATATAAAGAACTATAGGATTGATTTGCAACGCTGAATCAAGGTACCTGTACACAAATGAGATTTTTTTTTCCCCCTGAAACCTTGTTGAGTTTAAAAACTTGTTGTCAGCATGTTTTTCCCCTCTTGCAGAATAGTTATAGATGGAGGATTTCTTTCATTCATTGTATTTTGCTGCCTAGCACCAGTAATCTTGATACCTTAATTTTCTTTCTATTTGATTAAAACTGCATGTGTTTAAGAAGGTGATCTTTTGGCATACTTCCATTGCATTAACAGTGAAATTTCCTTTTATACATGACCACTGTTTCAGACCTGTGCAGCTGTTGTAACAGATAACTTTTGTTCTTAATTGAATACTTCAAAACTGTTCCTGCATATAACTATTTTATGGATTTTTTCAGACTAGTTATAAAATTTATTTTAAGTGTAATATGCTTAAGCCTTCAGTTTAAAGTAGTCCACTTCAAAATTCAGTGTAGAAAAGTCAATGTGGTATGCATAGTAGTTACAAAAATTGCATCTGTCCTTAAAACGCTGTTTTGTTTGAGTGATGGGGAGTGGTTGAGAACTTCCTGCAGAGCAGATAATTTCTGGTTTTGTAAATATTCAAGTATTTGAATCAATTGATTATTTTTTTATATATACTTGAAAATTCTTGTTGCTCTAATGCTCATACTAAAATTTTGATTCTCTTGAAATCCTATGTTTGCTCTTTGCATATTTATTGGCTCTTTGCATATATTAGACTACATGCAATACAGTCTGTCTTGCCATTGTCTGTTGAAGTGCAGGTTTGATCCAGCCAGTATAGAACTAGCTCTATAGGGGTGAGGAGGACTGTGCTGTGTATCATCCTTGATTGTTCCTTCAAGGAGCATTGCACTGTAAGTACATCAGAATGACAAATTGATGAACTGCAACAGTATCTTTTTGTCAATGTTCCACATAATGAAAATGCCATACTTGTGTGACTATTATGTTGGAATACAGTGCTGATATCTTAGGACATCATAATTGCTTCTTAATCCAGAAACATAGGTTTGCATATATATATATATATATATACATACACATAATATGAGTTTGGTGGGTAAGTATTCCTGAAACGTTTAGCAATAGCTAAAGAAAATCATGTTTCTGTTTGAGTAATAGTTTTTTTTTCATTAGTACTCCTAAGACAGCTGTATCATTCAGTGTTTTAAAGTATGCATATCGTAACATTTTGAAGTCTTTGGAACCACTTGTTAGACAGAAGTTCTTTTGTCTTCAGATAGTTTGCAGATATGTAGTGATGTAGGTATGTTTTAAATAATTCTGTAACTGTTACTTGCTTTATCTTTTGGAACACCATGTTGCTTTGAGAATAAATTTTTTTTAGGGTGGCTGCACAGAGAAAAAAGTTAAGGCTTGAAAATTGAAGTAGTTTATTATTCACATAATTAGCAATGTATGTATTGTGCTGTAGCAATAGAAGGAATTATTTTTATCCCTTTTAAAATTAGGAATTATTCTGGTAGCTTAAAAAAGGCTAGGACAGTATTTGCTATCTTTAGTGTAGGGTATAAAGTTTAATAGTTGAGGTATTTTGCATGGTATTTTGTAGATAACCTTATAGAATGGTGCATTTATTATGTACTAAACTGAGCAAAATTAAATTCACTGGATTCTTTATCATTCACAAAATGGAGGCTGTTGATTTTGATTCATTTAAGGTATAAAATCTTTATTAATTGCAAACAGTGCAATTATTTATACTTCACAGTGCCTTCCCAGACCTTCCACCTTAGGTTCTGCTGCAAAAAAGCAACAGGTAAGCACAACCTAAGGAAGTATATAAATTAATATATTTCAGTACATTAATGTTGTCCCTGTGAGATCTTTGTGGTTGTGTATTGAAAAGCAATCTGCTGCTTCCCCAAATGCATTGTTACTCACGGTTCCATTTCAGTGGAAAGTCTTCTAAGTTTTTAAACAACTGTTTATATTTCTAGGTAAATATGTATATATTTTTTTTTTTTTTTTTAGGAAAGACAAGTAGATTGCAGTAATTATAACGTGATCAGAATAAGTAATTTCTGTTATTTTTCCTCAAATAGCTAATTGTTGCAATTAAAGAATCAAAACCTTTAAAATATGCAGGAATTACTTTGGTTAGAAACGTCAACAGCCTTCACAAATGTTTTTTATAATAGGGCACTATTCCCACTCAAACCCGTAAGACCTTAGTATAAAGAATATGACTTCATGTTGTTATCACTGAACTTGATAACTTGTCTTACAGTTATAGTGTGTTAGTGGAATTTTTGGATAACTTAGTTTGCTTTTCATACTTTGACATGGTAGGAAAACAGATGCTGGAGTTTCAGAGATTAGTATGTTTTAACTGAAAAAGCATGTGCACCAGTTAAATGTTAACAGTACAGCAAATAATTTTATCTATATAGCAGTCAGTGTATCCTGTTTCTTGATACCTTAACTGAATTGCTGTATCTTTTGATAGTTTAAAATGTTTGTATGTCTTATAGATGGTCTGGTACAGGTTTTTCTTTCTGGTTTTTGTTGGGTTTGTTTTTTTAGCTTAAAGTAAAGCAGCATCTATTTGGTTTTTGTTGATTATTCTGTTTCTAAAATGTGCTGCTCCTCTTTCAAAAGTCCTGCTTATCTGTACATCAAAGAAAAATATTCAAAAATACTGCCTTCATTTTCACACACAGTGCTGAAGATGCTGCAAGCACCAAATCATAGCTCATAGAATCAGGTCCTGAGATAGTTACTACCAGTAAAGAGGAATCCTTTGAGTGTATGCCATTGGTGAGCCGATGAGCATGGACCATAGAAGGGCTCCATGTAGAAGGTAAAATTGGCAAAAACATAACAGATTTGAAATGTATCCCATACATAATGGTGTAGGGTATAATTTTTGTTTTGATCACTTTTCATTCTTTAAAGTATTATTTGTTTGACCATAAATGTTCCATAATGTTAAGTTTTTTAAACTGTGATTTAATAATATAAACCATCTATTTTAATTTATATTTTTTTAAACAGCCAGGCTTAGATATATTGAATTTTTGAACTAAATAGTTGTGCTTCAGTTTCTCAAGCCACTTAATATGTCATCTGTAGTTTAATATGTAACTTCATTTTTGACGTGAGAAAAGGTTAGGTGTGTACCATTTGGATTTTGATACTGTGAATTTAGTGTTGGGGTGAGTCATTTGTTCACTACCTTTTACATGATGATACTTTTTTCAACTGTTGTTCCTAAAATATCTTGAACAGTTTTCAACTGTAAATTTAGTCAGTGGGACGAGATAGAGAAGAAAAAGCCAGTCAATTGAAACGTTGCTAGTGTGTGGAAGATGAGATGTTCTTGTGTGTAGCATTTGAGGTGTGCTGACTTCCAGCTTTCTCGCTGTTGGGCTTACAGGCATGCTATTTTGTGTTTATTTTTTCAACTCTGTCTCCAAACTCATAGTTCTTAGGAGAACAGAAAATAGATTATTGGTCTTACCCTGATCCAAAAAGATAACTGGACTTCCTTAGAAAGAAATGTAATGAACTTTCCCAAAAGGTGTTCCCTGCTTTTTTCCCCTGCCCCTTAGAGTGCCACAGATTTAAGTAGAATGTGAAGAGTACAAAAAGTTTAAAAAGAAAGCATAATGTTTGAAATAGGAAAAGCATTTTTGTGTCCCTTTCTGCAGCCTATACTTTAACAGGACATGAAATGTCAGGTAGATAATCTCCAGTCTGGTGTGATTGAGAGTCATCTATTTCAGTTGTCCAGGTAGACAGGATCGTTACTTGCACAGCCTATCTCGAAATATCTCATCTTTTTACTAGTTATATTTTATTGGGTGATAGAAACTGTCTCTGCCCTGTTCTCTTCCAAAGTAATTTTTAAGTTTTCCATTGCATGCTAAGAGCTTTTTAATTTGCTTTCTTCTGGAAGTGGGGGGAGGAAGGGGAGGACTGGGCTTTTCAGAAAAGCATACAGTTGACAGGATTCCCTCTTCCCTAGCAATAGCTTATGAAATTCTTATGTATGCACAAATATTTCTCTTGCGTGCATGTGAAATGCCTTTTCGTCCTGAGAAAAGTGTTCTCTGCAGAAACTACCCGTGTGTAAAAAGAAGATTGGCTTTAAAAGGCAACTGTGATGGGAACAGTGTCTTAGGGAGATGCAGCTTGGACTTGAGGTAAATTGAATGCTTTACAAAAATGTGGTTTTTGAGCTTGCATTGACATTGTATGTAATATGGGTACACGTTAACTGTATAATGTTTTTTGTATGGTTTTTTCTCAATAAATGTAAACTGATGGATAATAATAGCAATGTTTTTGTCTTTTTTATGCTCCTATCTCTGCCTTTGTTAGTTTCAGAGGAAAGATATTGCAGCAACTAGTACTTCTGTGAATGAAGATCACCCACATGAATGAAGCAAAATGTATTTATATGGTTATTAGGATAAATATTAATTCAAAACATCATGCAGCTTATTACCATTTTTTCCAAGATGCTTCTGAATTAAGTATTTTATTGAGGCAAGAGAGTGATTTCCAATAGGTACCTGTACAAAAAGCAGTCATCAGATGCAACCACAGGAAGATTTCTTTTTGAAATGACTGCATAAATATAATTTGCTGCAGCTTACCTTGTCTTTATGTTAAGGCTTATACATGTTCTTTAATTTAAATTGTGACTGTAAAATTACTCCTACAGAAGCTTAAGCCAAACAATTCAGATGGTGTTAGCACAATGACATTAGTGTTGATACCAAGAGGTCTTAGAGAAAAATAGTAAATAGCCTTAAGAAGACAATGTTCAGAGATGCAGCAGTAAATTTATTGCATTAAGAGAGAACAGAGATTGAGAAGTCAGGCACTTTCTGAAAATATTTTTCTTGCTTCCTACCTACTTAGCTGTGATAGGCTCATATTTTGTCACCAAGTGTTCCCGTATCATTTAAGCAGTGAAAAATTTATAAGTTTTACAAGCAAATGTTTGTACTATAAAATACTACTACAAGCCTTGCTGAGGTTGTTTTTACTTCTGGATTATCAACTGCATAGATTGATAAAAGCATAACAGTTTGAAGGCAAGCCCATTTTAAAAGAAAAGAACTAAAGCTCTTTGAAACAAAACAACAAAAGTGAGCAGTTACGTAATCTTTTATTCTTTTAAAATAGTACACTGGGATTTTTGAAAATTGTCAATAAGTATTTCCTTTTGCCAGTTCATTGCCTCTGAGATAAAGTAAAACAGCTTAAATATTCAGTGGTCATGCAAAATATACCAATAGATTTATACTACTACACCAGTTTCCAGATTGTGTATTTAGCTTTATAGGGTTACACAACTGTTGGTCTTCAGATGTGGGAACATTATTATAATTCATTATTATAATTCAGCTTTTTCCTTTAGTTGATCTTTCATACATTGATTCCTTCTTTTTAGCCTTCAATACCAATTTTTGTATTGAGCAAGAAACCTGTACACCCACAATTTGAAGGTTATTCTTATCTGATGCAGGAATGACAAATCAATGCATATCCTTGCTTTCTTTAGTTGGCCCCATCAGAGAAAGAGATGATGCAGTAAGAAAGTTTTGAGGGGAAGAAAGATTCCAGCTAAAGTAGAGCATTAGTAGTCATCAGCTAGAAAATAAAAGGGTTAAGAGAAACAGATAATTAGATTTTTATAATAGGAAAGATGCAAGAAGAATATTTGAGAATTAAGCAAACTAAAATGCTAACTCTTACTTTCAATGGTGAGAATACAGGTGCTAGCAGATGTGCCTCTGTTGTTGACTGCTTTACACATATATTCCCCTTCATCTTCTGGGAAGGTTTCTGGCAAGTAAAGGCAATAGGTTTCTCCTCTTTCAATGTATTGATAGTCCTCAGAGTCCTGCAACATTTCCCCCTCAAACCACCATGTAACTTCAGGTTTTGGTTCTCCAGTAATTTTAACTGTAAATCTCACTGGCTCGCCATCAACAACAGATGTGTTTTTCAGTGACTTCTTAAACCAGGGAGCTCCAGATCGAGCTTGATCCTCCTCATCTTCGCAAGTAGAACCATTAATAATACTTCCCTCTTCTTCTTCTTCCTCTTCCCTTTTCTGTTTTAAAATAAGTCGATTTAGAACATTGAAAGTTGCAATAGTAGTATGACTGCTAGTAATAGGTATTTTCTCAGAAATATGGTTTCTGTAATCAGGGGAAATGCCACACCTGTCCTCACTAGATAACATAATGCACTGAATCTGGATATGAAACAGGCAGTAAAATGGATTTTAATGAGGCCAGAACCTCAGGGTAGAATACAGGCATGAATGCAGATTCCATTTTCAGACTATTCAAAAGGACCTTTCTTTGCATTATTTCTCTCATACTCTTCAAGAATATGTGAAAACACCAAAAGCAATTTTACATTATTGCAGCAATTCGCAGCAGCTGTTAAGTATAATGTTCCTTTTATACCCCTGGCAGTGTTGCCAGCAGTGGTAATCAGATGCTAAATTAAAGGACACTTAGGACTGAAGAAAAGGTACTTTCTAATTTATACCTTCTGTAATGCAGCATCAATTTCCTTTTGTTCAAACTGCATGCGTAGTAGTTTCTGTTCTTCAATTCTCCTCTGCTCCTCTTCTTCCCTGGCTCTTGCCATTTGCTCAAAACGGGCTTTCATGTTTACTTTATGAGTAAATGGAGCCTCGGATTTCTTGGCTGGTCTCACATCTACCTCCTCATCCTTGGGGGGAAAAAAAATTATAGTACTTACTACCTTTTAAATGTGTATGATAATAAAACTAATATTGTAGAGCAGTAATTCTTAACTGAGCAAAGCCACCCAGTCCTGTTTTTCTCAGAAGTTTGTTTAATCTAGGGTTTAAGTCTTGTAACAGTTTATCACAGGGAGAGGGCAAAATACTTGCAGAAGTAATTTCAAAATGTTGTGTAGAAAAATCCTGAAGATTTATTTGCATACAGAAGTTGAGTACTGTCTTGTGTCAATGGTAAAACCTTAGTGACTTGACTTTCATGCAGTGATATTATAGTAGTTTCAACTCCATGCAGGTTGACCTTATGAAAACATAATTGCAGTGTCAGTCATTAAAAGCTCAAAAACAAAGGACAGGCTTTGAGCTGGTACTGAAGTGACTGACTGCTGTGGATAACAACCTTAGAATGAGACTCAGATCAGTCTTATTGACTGGCACTACCACATGATTATGTCATGAAAGCTCACATCAGTGTTTTGGGTCATAAAACACAGTGTTGATTTACTGGTTAGACTGATGGCTTCATTTCTTGTTTTTCCCCTCTGAAAAAATGTGACAGGTTCCAGTCTGAAGCATAGATAAGTAGACATCCTTCTCTGCTCTACCCTGAGAAATTAGTGAAGATAACAAAAAGACTCTATTTTCAAACTGTTTTGTTTGGATTTTTTTTTTCCTTAATTCATACAGTGGAATGAGTTAAGAGTTTGGGAGGAGAAGTAATTCATGTGATACTTAATTCTCACGTGTGAATATTTCAAACCCACAGGCTGGTAGGTTTCATCTTGTTACTATGCTGAATTGAGAACTTTGAACAGAAAAACAGATTTCTGCTTGACCAGATGACTGATAATAAACTGGTGCTGTTTCCTTTAGGGATGCTGAGTTGAGACCTCCTCATGCATCCAAAGGAGGGAACAGGGAAGAAGGGAGAAAATAATTTTGAAAATACAGCAGCCTTTGGTGAAAGCAGCAGCATTGTCCCCTCCTGGATCATTACTGTGCTAGTTGGATATATCATTAACACACACAGAATGCAACCTACCTCTTGAAATTTTTCAGCTTCTCTTTCTCTTATTTCTTCATCCATTGCTCTTCTCTTAGCTCGCTCTTCTTCAATCTTCTTCTGTATTTCTTCTTGAGACAGTTGTCCTATTTTTTCAAACTTGCTTTTTAAGTTCTTTGCCTGAATAGAACCACTTCTTTTTAGCTTTATTAATTCTTCATATTCTTTGCTTAGCTCAAAAGTTTCAGACTCTTCTTCCAGCTGTTCAGAAATTACAGAATGTGTAAGATGGAAAATGCCCTAGTTATTTTTATCACCCCTTCTTCCCACAGATAGGTGTAACTTAATATACTTGAAGGTCTCTTAGCTATTTGAAATTAGCACAGAGACCTTTTCCCTCTATTTTTTTTTTCTTCATTCTCAGGATTACTGCGTTTGTATTGCATCTTAACTAGGTACTGATCTCAAAATATCTTCCTTGAATGTACCCTTATGTTTAAGTATTGCTGTCAGTAAACCACAAACTTAAAAAAAACAGGCACCTAGCAAAACAAAATACTTAACCCTGGATCTGTAATTTACCTCTCTGCTGTATTTGCAATATGATATGAAATAATTTTCTAAAGTAACAGCTACTTTGTTAAACAGAAAATTACTACTTTTTAAAATTCATTAAGAAGCAAATGAGATTCCAGGATGTCATGGCTGGAAAAGAAATGGCAGTTCTGAATCCTGTAGTCAAACCACATCTGAAGCTGTAACTGTTGATACTTTACTCCCTCTTTTTATGACCTCTGACAGCGAAGATGTATGTGCATTTTAGCTGGATGTCCCCGTCTCTCCCTTCCCCAGGATGTGTAATACAAAATTTACTTGATAGGTTAAAAGCTAGAGCCTTTACTACTCACTTCAGCTTTGCTTAACAAAAATAAATATATATAAAAATAATGAAAATAAATTGCACATATATAAACAAATTATGAAAGTAAATAAATGTAATCCTCTAACATTCAAAAGGGAATAATAAAGAATTGCCACCCACGGTCAGATCAAATTGAAGTGTGAAGTTCACAAACATGTTTTAGATGTCTGGTATGCAAAGCAAATTTTGTGTGTGATTTTTAAAATCAGCTGTGACCGTCTTCAAACCCTTGATACACTGATTAGAAATAAGTTGAGGCCACTGTAACTCTTTCCTAATTAGTTAACACAGCATTTCCTTGAGGAGAAGCAAGAATTTTGCGCTCTCCTACTTTGATTCTTGTATTTTCACTTGGGAACTAGGTGTTTCTGTTCTCCCAGTATTATAAATATTACATAATCGTTTTAGTAATACTGTAGAATTTTCAGAAGTGACTAAAATTAAAAATTTGAAATTGTATTTTTACCTTAAGGGTGGCAATGGATAAAAGCATTTTAGTGGTAGATTAGTGATGAAAATGTATCTTGCTAGACACAATCATGTTTTAAAAATATATTTTTATATTTTTCATTCTCACATAATAAAGTATTGATTTAAAATTCCTTTTGAAGGATCTTCAGTTACAGTCTTGAACTTTGAGATTTTAGTAATTAACTGAAATAATCTGTTATTTTTTATTCAGAACACGCTTAGCATATCCTTATATATACAGACCTCTCCCATTTCTTGTCTTAACTGTTGAAACTCTTGTTTTTCCATTTCCAACTTTTGCCTACGTTCTTCTTCTGTGCGTCTCTTTTCTTCTTCCATTTTTTGTCTCAGCAACTCCTCAAAATTTATTTCCAGTTTACCAGGTATGAGGGATTCTTGAGAAACTGTTTTAAACATTTCTGGTGATTCATCATCCAGCACCTGCTGGGAATTCAGAGCATTAATGATACATTCTGAAGGTACCTGTGATGAAATCTCAGCATTGCTCAGACAAAGATAACCAAGTATTTTGCCACATCTGCCACAATATAGTAAGATGCAATATTATGACATGTGGGTATTCTAATTTTTGGGAGGGATTGTGTTTGGTGCATTTGTTTGAATTTTGCTCTTTACTATTGCAATGCTAAACTTTCATAATGAAGATTATGTTAATTAAAATGCAGTCTTTTTTTGCAAGATGATGGAGATGATGTCCTCTAAATGCAGTCTGGGGACCTGAAACAGTTCATTCCTGTTTATTTCACAGAATATCATTAGACAAAGTACTTGTGTTTAACTTCCATTGCTCTTAACACGGAAGTACATATATATATATATATATATATATATATCTCTGTAATTTTTTTTTGAAGCAAATTGAATTATATTCCTGTTATTAAGCAATATTAGTATTCCCAGTAAGGATAACTGAACAGAACTTTCTGCAGGAAACTTTTCTTCTGCACAAATCAGTTATGCTAGGTTATGTTGCCAGTTCATTACTTTGTACAACCCCAAAGCAAGAGCTTCCTCCTCTCCCAGTCCTCAGGCTTCACAGTAGGGTTGGGCTTTGGTCATTCATGAACAGTTTGCTTATTCTGTAGACTAATTCATAGAAGATGGTAGGGCCTAGGAAAGGCAAATTACTTCTAAAAGCAGGGAGTGTAAGAAGAAACATTTTTGTCAGACTGAATTTGCTGAAGCAAAGCATGACTAAAATATGAAACCGTATGATGTGAAAATGGCCACATAGCATGTAACTATGTAAATTTATTAACAGAGGTTGTTCCAGCAGGAATGTTCTGTAGATAAATGTGAGTTGAGCTCAGATACCGATCTAGAACTGTATGGTGATGTGGCTTTTCGTACTATTTAAGTGGGGCATGTTTGAAAAGCCTTGTGGCAAACATGGGAGAGCCCAATGTGCCTTAGACTGTGTAGGCATTCGTGAAGTAGTAATTGCTCAAGTGCTAGAAAGAATTAGAGAATTAAAACTGAGAAAGTGTTTTGACTAACTATATAAAGAAGCAGAAAATAAACATTTAAAAGATTCTTTGGCGCTCCCTTTTCATTCACTTACAAACTAAGACAGCACAAACAGCAGTAACACTGTCTTGACTTACTTTGCCTATATCCTTTTTATTTGTCACTGCTCTTTCAATAGTTTTTTTGGCCCAATCCCACTCAAATACTGCTATTCACTATAGATGCCCTTCAGGTTTTCCCTCTGAGTAAGCTTACAGTTGGACTTCAGCCCCACCATTCCTTCCATTCTTCATTTGTTTTACATAATATGAGCATATTTGTTGAAACTGTATTACGGAGAAGTGGAGTCAAAAAACAAAGCTGTAGACTTATTTCCTGTAATGAAAACAATGCATAACCACATAGTTTTCAGAGGCTAGCCACAGCTGAATTAGCAAAGAAATGTGAAAGTCTCTTGCTTGTGATGCATTAGTTCATATGCTTATCACTTCAAAAAGATACAGAACCTAAGTGAATAGGAGAAGCATTAATTTAAAATTTACCAATGCATGCATGTATAAACTTTAAAAAGCTGTCTATGTGAGCAAAGTAGCAGCTGTCTATTCTGTATTTTTGAATCAGTAAATTATGAAAAGACAGTAAGACAACTTATTCCTGGTTAAAAAACACAGGAAAAAATTGAGCTGAAGTGTGGGATGCACAAAACCCTTGTGGTTAGTTCAGTAAATATTTTAGCCCTATTTTGTGAAGTGAGACCATACTTTTTTTTTCTGCAGAGTGGGACCAGATGGTAGTGAGAAACAGTCCTGTAAAAACTATAGTTTGCAGCACAGTCAATCAGTTTTCAGTGGGCAATGACTGACACAAAGTAGAAAGATTTTTTTTTTTTTTTTTTGTCCATGCTAAGACAGGTTCTTTATGCATTCTCCAATGGAAAGAGACTGTCAGGACTGAAAGATGAATGCTTCAGTCTGAAAGCAATCACATTGATGACGGGAAGCATGGAAGTATAAATGTAGCACAAGTAAATGTGAAATAGGGAGACATTCGTGTTTTCCAGCAACAATATTACTACTTCCGTGTCTGTATAATTTGAAAACTAAATTAAAATTAGTAAACATGAAGAAGGTTCTAAAATAATTACTTAATTTAAATGCTTAAATTATAAATTGAATGTGAGATTTTACTGCTTTTGAAAGATAACTAATGTTCTTAAAATGTTTAAAAGCACATCTACATTGTGTAGCTGTGGAAAGTAGAAGAAGCACAGGCTTACATTTTCTGTTATAATGGAAAATGTGGTGTTCATATTCAGGATGCTAACGAACAGAAAACTTTCAAATATGTATATGCTGCAAATACATTTTCAGTTAGTTCTTTTTAATTACTGAGCGTCTTCACCGTCTGCAGTTACAGTGCAATCATAGACTCTGTACTGCATCTAATGGATTAAACCCTGTTTAATCTGTGAGATTTTTCTTGCCTGGACACTATAGAGTTTAGATTCTTGCTACGTTAAGGCAGAAGAAAGCAATTCTTAAGAAAGCAGGAAAAAGCAGAAGACAGAACCTACTTTCATTGCTTTCCTTTTTGTCTGCTGACTTTTCATAAAAATTGTAATTGCAGAAGTCCAGTAGCACTCTTTTTTTTTTTTTCTTTTTTTTCTACTAGTGGCTTTAGCTTCTGTTTTCTCACTTTGGAGGTATGGACAGACATTACTTTCCATAATTGCTTACCAGTTGCAGTACGCATTTACATTGTAGTTTCTCAGTCTTTCAGTGTAGAGGTCTTTGGCCCAGTTTTCAGGCAGAGGGAGCACTGCTAGCAATATTAGTAGTCATACAAAGTTTTAATTTGTCTCAAAAGCAGTGCTTTGAATGGTGAGGAGAATTTTATTCGGTGTATGCTGTGGATCTCACCAATAAAAGCACAGAGGGGAATGGGAGGACGCTGCTAGTTGAGGGGTTATTCCACGGTTCTGTATAGCATGTCTTGTCCTTCTTTTGAAATGAACAATACTTAGTTTTAGTTGGTATTTGTGTATTTTAATACTGTATTTCCTAACATCTGCCAATAAGTATCTGACATACCCAAAAGCCTGCTGAATCTTGAAGCTAATGGAATGAGCATGAAGATTACAGTGAAAAGCTCCATGCTAGTTATTTTCTGCAAACAATGTTGTTGCCACCCTCTGAAATTGGGCATCTTTCTCTGCTTTCAGGTAGTGTCAGTATGTCAATCCTAGGTCCCTGAAAATTTATCTTCAGTATAATCTTCACTCAAATTTTGGAAGTCATTGCATATCACAGAAATCTGTATTTCTCTAAGGAGGTTCTGTATTACAAATTTTTCTAATGGTAAATGTCACAAGTTACTTTTCTGTTTTTCTGAACAATCAATGAAACACAATGAAAACATCAATTAGCAGAGTTTGGCTTCCTTAATTTTCCTTCTTAAAGGGCCACAGATGACTAAAATTTGTACTTGCAGTGAGCACTTACTTTTCTGTTATGCCATTAATGCTGTTTTAGCTAGTAAGAGCTGAGTGGTGGACACCCTGTAAAGGTAGGAAGATAAAGTTGGAGGAGTAAAAGGAATTGGCGAAATTTTTTTGCTTTCCAGGTTTGTTGTATCTAGCCTATTAATACCCATTGGACACAATATCTGGTTTTTACTAGACTATTTGAAATCCTTTCTAGGCTTGCTGTGAGGAGGGATTGTTCTGTGATGATTTTTGGTAAATGAACTTGATTAGTTTACTACCTTCTAGTAAGTAGTGAGGTGAACTAATTAACAAAGGACTTGAAGCATGCATTCCCAGAGCTGCTTTCCTGTTCATTTGAGACTTAGGTAAAAATACAATTATATACTAAACAAAAATGACATACCATGTTCTTCCTTGCTTCAGCAAACGCTCTTTTTTCCTCTTCTATGCGTCGTCTTGCATCTTCTTCTGCTTTCTTCTTTTCCTCTTCTCTCCTGTGTCTTTCTATTTCCTCAAAACTGAGTCTGAGTTTACCAGGACGGAATTCTTTAACAGAATTTTCAGATTCTTCGTCGCCACCTTCATTTATCTTCAGAGAATAGGGAGAGGAAAAAATAGAAAGTACTTACCCAAACATAAAAATATTATTTATGATAAATAAACAAAAACTCCATTAATTTCTTTCTGATCTTTTATTCGTGTTCTTTTCTCCTGGGGAAAAAAAAAACCCAAGAGTTTTGTTCCCTTAAGAAACATTTTAGTCTTGGCTTTAGCCAGGGGAGGGAGAAAAGAAACAAATTTCAGTATCCTATATATAGCTTCTGTAATTTTTAAAAACCCGTTAAGTGTAATTTAAAGAACAATGTGTTATCAGGGAACGGCTGAACATATTTTATGGTCTCAGGTTGGATCATTTACTGTAAATCGCTCCCTATTCACTTTCTTTACATCACTTTCATAGACCTTTATACCATCAAGTCTTTTTGTTTGCATATAAATTGTTTTCACCAATGCACACACCAGTTAAAAATGCTGTAGAGTTTTATAGCAAAACTAAATCAATTAACATTTTGCTATTATTCCAGACTGAGATTCTTGTCTCTTTTCTTTGTAGACATTTAATCATCACTGAAGAATGGGAATTGAGATACTCTGATCTATTCAGTATTGCTTGTCTCTAGTGAACACTTACCTGATAAGAGAAGCCTGTGGTTTGCAAACTGCAATCAAGAACAAAAGAATGAACCATCCTCAGAAGACATCTCAGAGTGCTTTATTTGTTAATGGAGGAACTGGACTAAGAACTGTCAGAGTATTGCTAATCCAGATTTCTGTATACTGCAAGCAGCCCTGGGACTGGTATGTGGAGTAGCCAGTTAAGGGAATTACAGAAATCTTTTTTTGGAATTTACAGGGAAAAAAGAATTAAAGGAAAATGACTGTTGAAGTCTTCCTTTAAGAAAACTTTTGACTTTCAATTTTGACAACCACTGATATCAGATAAAACTGCATGTTAGAAAATTTCTTTTGAGGTAGAGAATTTGTAAACTATATTACTTGGTTACTAAATGCATATACATAAGGGTGGGAGACGTGAACAAAACTTCAGTTAGAATGACTGGTAACTCCATGAAGTTCTCTCTCCTTCATTTTCTTCCCTTTTCTCCTTCACTGGTATTCCCTGCCCAACCCCAAATAAAAAGAAAAAAGTGCATTACTGATATAATGTCAAGGTGATTGGTGTAGAAAGGTTAAGTGATTTGTTGAAGGTGGGGGTGGAGAAGTAAACCACAATTTGGGCGTCTGCCTAAACCTGGAACCTTCTCACTTTGGAACAGTTGGGAATTTCAGTGTTTCAGCTTTCTGGAGGTTCTGTGGTAGGGTTTTTTTTCCTAGAGAATATAAACTTCTTGCATGTTTTTGAAATATAGGCTATATAGTGATCCTGATCTGTTTGTCCAAGAATGTTCATTCATAATTATACTCTAAGTTAGTAAATTCCTAGAAATAATATTTTCAAAGATTTCATGGAAGATTAAAAACTCATTTCTCATTAATCTTCTTTGTCTGTGAATTAACAGTCATAATGATCATGATTGTACAGGGGAAAGATACTTAAATGCAGAACTTTAAAAATGCTTTTGGAAATGGAGTATGGTAAAGTGAAGAAATATAGAAGTAAGCTATCTGGTATGTCTATGTTAATACTAAGTGTATGATTCCTTTAGTATGATCAAAGAACAAACTATAGTGAGGTCTGCTTATAGTTGATCTAAAATAAGTCTGGCTTATGATAAAGAACACATGGAGGCAGTTTTGCAAGTAATATAAAAAAGGAACGGTGAGCTACATTTCTGAAAATTTGGGGCTTAATCTAGTAATTTCTAGTATATTGTTTATGTCAATACATACAAGAGAGATGACCTGTCTTTTTTCATAAGACAAAAGTTGTAACTGATGCATTTATCATATTTATAAATAAATATGAGAATAAGAAATAGCATTCTGTTACTACAGAATGTTTTCATCAAAAACTGGTAACTGAAACATCTTGAAGCACTGTTTAAGAACAAACCAGACAACTACTTATCTTATTGAGGACTTATGGCTTTAAGGTACTACAGAGTGTAGATCTAAAACCTGTTAAGATTGCTGATAAATTTAAAACACACAAATTTCCTGGTTTTACTAAAAGAATGTCTAAAACATTATGCCACGGTGGTTACTGAGTTAGACCTAAGGTTAAAAATACATCTTTCAAAAATTAATTTTCAGACACTTAACAGCTTGAAATATAGTTAAAGGAATAAGAGAAAAGAAGGATCAGATACAGGAAAGAATGTAAAATCACATCCTATGTGAAAATTCTGTAATGACGTGAACAAAACATATATCTACCATTTGCTGTCTAGCTTCTTCAAAGGCACGTCTCTCCTCTTCTAAACGCTGTCTTGCTTCCTCCTCTGTTTGCCGCCTTTGATTTTCCTGTCTTTGTCTTTCAAGTTCTTCAAATGTTACTTTCAGCTTACCCGGAGACAGTGGCTCTTGTTCATTGTCTTCATTTTCACCCTGTGTCAGAAAAATGAAATAGTCATATCTTAAATAATAGATATTTATTTCTTAGGTTGTTTGTTTTTTTAAGATGAGTGGTTTACCATGACAAACGAAAGGCACTTGGTTTCCTTAAGGGATTGGTTTTGTTCCTCATATTTTAGCTTCAGTTTTTCATCATGTCTCTCTCGTTGTTCTGCTCTCTCTCTTTCTGTGTTCTCAAAGTTTATTTTCATCTTCCCAGGTGTTTTGGTGGGTTTTACGGGCACTACTGTAACTAGCAGTGAATCATCCCCTTCCTGTCCAAAAAGATAATTATATTTTCATAATGCTTGACTTCTAAATAGAGTAATTTCTTAATGAAACTGCTGTTTTCACCTGCGTGCACAAAAGCTTCCAAAAGAATTACTTGCATTGAATATTAACCACAAGAATAAACCCATCTGCCTGTGACAGTCACTAGTTTTCTCATATCTGAAGAGCATCAAGACTGAATTATATTTTAAACATAACTACTGATAAACTCCTTAATTTCTTTACGTATTTTCATTAACTGTTAGTTATAAATATTCATGGTTTGGAAAAAAACAGGTGAAATTTTGAATACATAGCAGTTGTAGCCACACTGCTTCCACTCTTGTATTTACTACATAAAGGATATACTGCAGTTGGAATAAGCTAGTAGTTCTAGAGAGCAATATTTCATTTGTCAGGCAGAGTATTTTTTTTGAAGAATGTTGATGCTTCAAAGCTATTTTCACAACTTACTTGCCAAAATACATTTTACCCGTTGGTTTTTTTTTTTCCCCCAAAATACCATGATTAACAGGGATACTGTCAAATAACTTTAAAACTAATGGGTTTTGGGTGGAGTGTTTTTTTCTTCTTTCCAAAACTGTAGTAGGAATGTGATTTTCTTGTGTTAGTGAAAGACAATAGGACCTTTGGACCTAGTTCTTTGAAATTAAACATTTATTTGCAATATTTCAAATCCAAACCGATACTGTAAATTAGTCAATTAAAAAAAAAAGTGCCAAGTGAAGTGTTTGAACATCTGTATATTGACAGAATCCCCTTTTAATTTCAAGTTTAAGGCAAAGAGCTTTTAAGATTATACTTTCCAAAGCCAGAGGACTTACGGTATCATTACCACTATTCCTCAAATCATTCTGGTGGCTTTGAGTATATATATTTTAGATGTTTTTAAATAACCACAAAGTATTCACAGTGCAGACTCTTATTTCAAACTTAAATAAACTGACCTAAAGTACAGACATATAGTTCCATATACTTTAAAAATCTGTTAGCTCCTTGGTTGAATTTTAATTAACTATTTGTGTGCCATTTTCTAAGTCTTCCCAGCCCAAATTACAATTATAAAACAAAGTGAATAAAAATGTAAGTGAGCATTTCTTTAAAAAAATCTGATTACCTCAGCTGCTGATTCAGTTCCCGTATTGTTAAAGTCATCAATCTATTAAATGAGAATTTCATATGATTACATTACTTCGGCTCTTTGCCTTAGATTTGCAAACACAGAACTGGAAATTCTTTTTGTATCAGTGATACACATGTAGCACTTAAATTCACAGAGGTGGTAATGATTGAACCTTTGTTGGAATACTTCAGATAGGTTAGCTTGTTGAGGAAGAGGGAACATGACATAAAACATCATACAGAAAGTACACTAAAGCATTCTTGACACTTCAGTGATGAACTGAGAAGAGTACTTTAGATGTCCATTCTTCATTTAAGCATTCCAGAATTGTGTAAAAAGAAAAAAAAAAAAAGCTAAAGCAAGCTCATTGATTATTATCCAATTCAAGTGACATTGTCTTTCCCTGAACTCCTTCAAAAAGCCTATTGCTGTACTTGCTTCATATGGTGTGTTTACATGTTACTGTCTAAAACTAACATACTTTCTAAAATTCTACATCGTATGTACTTCTGCCTTTCAGAGTAGATTAAACATATGCTAGATATATTTCCAGTTAAAACTACAGTTTTAACAGCATTAAAAGTCTTAGTAGAAAATACCATCCAAGTCCTTGTTGAAAACTGACTCTTCCTATAGCACTGTTTTTCCTTTCTTACAACAAAAACAAACCTAAATTAAGGTTATATAAAAATTCTAGTCCTAGTTCTAGTCCATCATTTAGACATTCACTCTCACTGAAATATTTGCAGCACTGAAGAAAACTTACAAAAGGAATTAAATAAGATATGCCAATGCAAAATCCTGCAGAAGATAATATTTGCTTTATTGGCATGAACAGAAGCTAGAATCCGTTCATATATATATATATATATATATATATATATATATATATATATATATGCATGCAGTAAAAATTTGCAAAGTGGCAAAGGAATAAAACATGACCTGGATCTTCATGATTAATGGTTTTTACTGCATTAGTATCTTTTATTTTTGCCTGCCAGTGGCATTTTCTTATTTCTCCTTGCTTGCCTTAGTTCATCTGTCACTGAACTGTATTCACTAACATATAAGTAAAAATTGTCTGAAGGGTCGATAAAATGTAAGAAACATTTTCAAATTAGTAAATTCTATAAACTCTTGTATGCATATGACACCAAAATTTCTGCCTGACTCACATTCCTACCTGGTTTCATCTGTAACTCAAAGTTTAGTGCTTAAAAAAACTGGTACTGTAAAGAAATGAAGATTCTCTGAACATTATTCCCCACTTGTAAATCAATACTTCCAGAAATCTTACAATCAAATCTTTCTGATCAATACAAAACTTTTTTGTGTCGATTGTTTACAATTACACCCTGACTACTGTGATCAGATGAACATACCTCCTGTGCTTTTTTTGCTAATTCTCTTTGAATTTTTCTTTTCTCAATCATATCTTGTTCAATTCTGCGCTTTCTTTCTTCTTCCATTCTTTTTCTTTCTTCTTCTTGCCTTTGCTTCTCCATTTCTGCAAACTTGCCTTTAACAGTTCCTGTGAATATGAAATACGCAGTTCAGTAATTACATCTAATACTTACCCAGTGAATTATGTGGCCTTTAAAGTCGGGCCTCTCTTACCTATTAGTTTTGGAACATAACCTTTTTCTATTTTAGATGATTTTGTGTCATCATCTTCATCAGATCCAAGCAGTTCTTTCATCTAGTTGATGAAACACAAAGTAAACTGGTTTTATATCTTAAATAAAATTCTAATATTATTGTCTTAATGTGAAAAGATTTTCACATATTAAATTGAATATTAAAATAATACAAATTATTTGCAAAGAAAATAACCTCCTGCTTTCTCCTGTTCCATTCTCTCTCTCTAACGTATTGTTCTTTTCTTCTTTGCTTTTCATCTCTAGATCTCCTTTGATTCCTTTCTTCCCTTGCTTTCTGCATAGCTTCAAATTTATCCTTTACATCACCCTTGTGAAGTTTGGGCACATAGGATTTTTGGATGGGTTTAGATGAAGAAAGCAGAATCTTGGTGAAGACAGAGAAGAAATGAAGATAAGAAAAATAAGGTTGAAACAGATGGACAGAAATATTCTGATTGGATTAGAAAGAATGTAAGAACATAAAGCAGAAATGCATTTGGGATTATGAACTTTGTGCCACTAGCCATCATCGATTAAGCATCATTGTATTTGTTCACAATACTAAAATATCAAAAACATTTGGCATTGTATTACATTTAGACTATAAGTGATTGTAAGGAATAGCTACATACCTAAGTATATGAACGTACATTTTCAATAACTGGCTTTACAAATGAGATATAGATTTGTATTGTTGCTTTCAATCATAAGCAGTCACCAAAGAGCCTCTCTACCCCTAACATTTAAAATAGATATAAAGACATAGACATATATTACAGTATGTATTTCTTTTGCAACACTTCAACAGCCTTATATGGTTTTAAAACAAATAGTATTATTTGTTCACTTCAAACTTCCAATTCATTATATACTTATGTTTTAATATTTAGAGAAGCTCGGAAGTCCGGTGATTGCATGATATGAAGTGCCAAGTTCATTGGACTTACAGGACTCTGATACAGCTGACAGACACTTCTTTGCCAATGCTTACTGTGTGAGTGTCCAAACAGCAAGAGAAGTTCCCACTTATCAGAACTACTGTGAAGCTTTCTCTCATTTTACTGTAAAGACTACAGGAATGCTCTTAATACAGTAATACTGAAAAAAATTACTAAAAACATTCCATGTTTCATATTTTCCACCTAAGCCAACAGTTTTTGTTCCTGTTGCTCACTGAGTCTATGTAGAACTATTTGAAGTAGCCTAATATTTACATTTTAGAATTAGATGTGAATGCTGCCCTGATTTCCCCCTCCCCCGTATTTAAAGTTTCTTTGTATCTTGTTACCTTTATTCTACCCTCCTCTTTCATCTTTTTTTAATAACAGTAAGAACATATTTCACAGATTCCATCAAACCAGATAGTTTCCTTAAGCTACTTTCAAGTGCCCTTCCATTGTCTTAAAGTAACAGCAATACCAGCAGAATTTTTTGTTTGTCTTTTACAATGGTTTGTAATTACTCTTTTTGCAAGCATCAGTTGTAAATGACTACATTACTTCGATTACTTTAAAATTGTTACATACCTCAGTTTTCTGTGCAATGTCATTCATGGCTACTGTATTGTGCTCTGCACCTGGTATGTTTAAGATTGCTTTCAGTTTCTACCTGAAAGAAACAGTTGTAGTTATAATCCTTTCTTTTCCTTTTAAATGATGCTTTAACCATCTTCCTGTAAATAAGTTTGCATAGGCTGAAATCGATGTATCACAATTTCATTTGGTCCTTTGAGGCTTTTGAAGACATCAACAGGTTCTAAGTATGCAACACTAATTAAAAGAACAAGCTTATGATTCACTATTCATGCTCGTAACTCCTCTATATAGTCCTTGATATTGGTTTTTAATTTCCATTTTAAAAAAAATGAAAAAACAAAAAACAACAAAAACCCAAAACACAAAACCTTGGAGCCAAGCTCTGGCTGCCCTGGCTGGTGTGTTGCGAAACTGTTTTTCTCAATACTCATGCTAGCAGAAAGGAATGTGCTCTGCACCTCCACCGCTCGGTTTCAGCCTTCGGTATGAGCCAGCGAGCTCTGGCTGCGTGAGGTTTGTGGAGTGCTCAGGCCAGAACCCCACAGGCTCCTGGAGCTGCTGCTGGCGGGGGAAAGGGCCTGGTGGCTGGGGGAACCCACCTGCGCGTCAGGGGCGCAGCTGGATCTGTCCAGGTGAAGGCACTTGCCTGAGTCTCAGCCGGGCGGGCACCTCTCTTGGCTCTTCATCCAATATGGGAATACAAAATAATGCTTTCCTTTCTCCTAGGACTATTCTAGGAAAAACGTTCTAAAAACTATGAAATGAGTTAGATAAGCCACATACATACCTTAAGAGAAAGTTATTTATATCCTTAAATTGTGGGCTGGAAATCGTACTGCATTTTTTAAGAGAAAAGCATTACAAATTTTAAATTATACTAGATTTATTAGGAACCTAACTTAAGGCACTTAAAGTTCAGGGCAAGCCTTTTTCCTTTTTCTTTTTTTTCTTTCTTTTTCCTTTTTTTTTTTTTTTTAATCATTGGGTCAATCAGAGGTTGTGGGAGAAAGGAAATCATGACATGACTCCAGCACCACTGCTGTCTGTACTGTACCAATGCCCTGAGTCCTGGCAAACCTAAAAGCTCAGTGTGCTGAACGGTGCAAACAAACTGACTTAAAGGCTCAAAGTAAAAAGGCTGGAAAAGTAGCCTACTGCTGGAAGGGACTTCTCATTTGTGGTTTAGAGGAACCGAAGTCAGGGCATTTCATGATTCAGAAAGTTAAGTTCTTACTGGTCTTAGCCTTTGAGTTCTCTAATTCTTAATTATAAACATAATAAACATGGGAATTTTTATGTCATGCTAAAAATAAAGAACATTAAGTGTTATTTTCATACAAGCTTTTCAAAAATACACAAACGTCATCAATACTGGTGCTGCTGAAGCTATACAGATAGAGTGAGATTCTTAGATGTCTTGGGATGTTTTTCCCAATGAAAGCAGTCACAACATATGAAACAAGACCATTTAGCTACCAATCCCTGCCCAGATTTACAAATGCCAAACTCTTCAGCTTCAACAGAGATGTTCTGGAGAACATTTAGATGTTCCTTTTCAACAAATGAGTATGGAAAGTCATTCCCCTCCAAATCAAAGTTGACAAATACCTCATTTGCAGACTGACAGAAATCTAAAGCATTTCAGTTTGTCACTTGTGAACACATGAACATAAAATTACTAAGTGCTAGTTCCTATTTAGACTGTTTCAGATTAGCAGTAGCATGTTAAAATTCTGTTGTGTCTAGAAAGGCAGATAATTTCACCCGCATTCTCATGGTGTCAAGGTCCCTATATACTTTAATATGCATGTGTATATTCTGCAGCTGGGTTTGCACTTGGTAAGCTTCAGCTTCATGCACTTAAGTGAAATCTACTTTGTGATCAGTATAACCTTAAAACTAGTTAAAATCTTCTGATTTCCTCATTTTTCTAAGGAGCTCCTAGACAAGTTCTTCTCTGTTCTCTTCCTTTGCTACTCTGTTTTTTTAATTTCTTCTTCCCTACTTGTGGCTGATAGCCTTTAGCCTTGTACTTCAAATACAGAAGCTGAATAAAGGGTCTACTGCGTGAACCCATCAGAAGACAAAGGAGTGTCATACACTGGTACAATTCATGCACTGAAGTAGCCTGGAATGTAGAGACCTTCTAGCCTTCATACAGGGCTAGTATGTATGTAAGGCCCAAAAGTTAAGTAAGGGAAGTAAGGCCCACAGATAGCCTTTCACAAGGAATTCCACTTCACCTAAACGCCTCAAGTGAAGGCTACTACTAACCTTCACTACACCAACATACCCTCATCTAGATGGCTTCATCTCAAAGTCCTTTGACTATTCTAAAGCCTGATTTTCTTATGTGCAATTAATTGTAGGAAGATTATGTTTACAAGTCTGAGAACACACTTCAGCTTTTGAGCTTTTAGATCAACTTTGTCTTGAACCTTTCTGATAGTTCCAATTACCTGAACCCCCTGACAGTGTCACTAAGATTGCTGACAGCAGTGAGACCTACCTTCAAATAACAAATCTGAAATTTTCTTTAAAAGTGAAAATGTTGGAAGAAATTTCCTTTGCAAATTCCTGCTGTCTGAACTTCTAAAAATGTGCCAGTCCAACAGGTTGTGGGCCTTCAAGATGGGAGATAAGTTTCTGCCATTTGGAATACTGCCATATCTGCTATTACTTTAGGCTACCTTTCAGTTCTTTGGCATCACTAACTCTTAATATGCTTGAAGGTTAGCCAGCTGGCTCTAAGACATTTTGCATCTGTAAGTCATCCTACCTCCACCTTTGATGCTAAAAGATATGGATATAAAGCAGTAGGGCATTACTAAACATGATACCACCCATGTTTGCACTTTCATCCTTCCCCATGGCAGTTAAACCTCGAGCAGGAACAACAGCAGGACCCTGCCTCAGGCACCCCTCAAGGCAGATGAGTAATTTCCAATAAAGACAATCCAGAATCTTTAAGAAAAAAACCAAAAAGCACTCCTTGAGTTTTGGCTTCAGTCTGTGAGGCGGTGGCCACTGCTTCAGAACAACAACAGATTGAAACTCCTTTGTACCTGCCTTATCATTAGGAGAGGATACACACAATGTATCGTTGGTGAGAAAACAGAAGCAGGTAAGCCAAAGAAGTCCTGACACCTACAAATCACAGAAGAGCAGTGCCTTCATCATCTGTCAAGAGCTTTGCGCAAAGTATGCAGTGATAAATATCCCAACCCAAGAAACTTTGACCTACTAACTGTCTTTTTAGGGAATGAACTAGTTATATTTTTAAGTTGTGTGTATATATATATATTCTTGTTTTGTATTGGATGAACGCTGTGGGAAAATTCATCCTACAAGTAATGTTTATTCTTTGAGGCAACAAGAGTCTACCTGGTATAGGTACTTACCTCAGAAGAGATTTGTTCTATTATGAAGCTGACCAATCATAATATTCAGTGTCATCTTTTATTTCCTGAGATCAACTTATCTCATGAAAAGCTGTAAGAGCTCCTCATTGAAGCTTCCCATTCAGAAAAATACCAGATTATAATGTCAAACACAGCCATGATCAAAAAATGAATTCATCATGTTACCAGGCTTTTCTTTGCCTATCCAGTCTCATCACTTTAGCATTCACTTGACACTTTTTTTTTCTCTCCACATTTTTACATTCTTATGATTAAAAGAAGTATCTCAGAAAATGTTAGTCTGGTATTACAATGTTTATACAGAAAGTAATGGACCGCAGTTCCACATTCAAAGGAGGTCTACCTTGAAATTTTTCCTAGAAGTGAAATTTAACCTCCATGCTTTGATTAGTATTCCTACCTCTGGAACTGAATGGAAGAGAAAATGCCGTTGCTAGAATAAATTGACTGGCTGTAATGCTGAGAGTGATCTCAAAGAAGTTTTGAGTGAAAATGTAATACAAAACCAATAATGTGTAGGCAACTAGGCAATAGATTAGAAACATGCTATAGAAAAACCAGAACTGTTTTCAAGCATCTTGTTTGCTGTAAATGGGTAAGCTATCACCTCTGATATGTTTTGATTTGTTATGCTCATAGCACTTTTTCAACTTTTCACACAGATTTCCTAAAACCTTACTTTAGGCAAAATAATCAAAGTGAACAAAGAAAACCATTAAGGGGACACAGAAGTTTTGATGGCTCACAAATCCCCAAATCCATCTCCTTAAATTCAGTTAATTTCAATTTCTGGAAGGAGGTCAGAGTTCTCAATTGATCAAAAAGTGTTGTCCAGCTTTAACCAGATAAAAACCCTCCCATAAATAATATCATTCCCCTTCATTTGATAACATAGAAGTTCTTGATTTTCAGTGGATGATTAACATCCTCACATGAGACACAGGAAAACACCAGCACGTTCCTGAACTAAATACTACTCCTTACAGTAGGAGTACAAAGCCAGGACTTTAAAAAAAGTCTAGTTCCTCTGTGATTCCTCCTTTCGGGGGGCCCCCCTGCTGTCCTACGGCTACTGTGAGTTATAAATAAGCCCTTCACGGCACAGTCTAAGTTACGTTTACCATCTGTCTCTTCTTCGTGATCTACTTGCAGGGAAGACTCCATTATATAAGAAAACCATATTGTGAGAGTTGGAAACTCACTACTTGCAGCCAAAGCACTCAGAAGAGGAAAACACAGTCCACAGTGTTAAAATACTTAATGAAATACTAAATAGAACTGGAAAGAGGAGGAGAAAGAGGGCAATGTTCAGCATTTATGTCCTTACTGTAATTCGTCTGGAATGACACTGACAGTTGTTGTACTAAATTACAGATACTAAAGCAGCTACTAAAATTATCGTGCATAGGGGAAGATTCTGAACTGGCATAAACCATGAGCTCCACTGAAGCCAACAAGCTATGACAATTAACACCAGCAGTCTAAACTTCACATTTTGTAAAATACAAAACTACTCCCACTTGCTTGTATTTCCTTCATTAAGTCTTCATAATGAAAGACTAGAATGCTTACCAACAACTGACCCAGATAATTCAATTTTATACACAGTCTTTTCCTCAGTCTTTGAGTTTATTGCACTTCATCATCTATTGAGAGTCTCATATTAGGGTAGAATAGTCCTTGCAGATACGATGTTATTCATAAAAATGTATTTATTATAAAGGATTTTGTCTATGTCTGTTTATATAACCATAAATGCTCTTAATGTGACCATGCCATGGAGTCCAACTGCTGTGTTAAAAAAATAAAATCACCCTTCTCTTTAGAAAAGATCTGTCTGTTAATTCCTTGCTCTCTTCAGGTACTATTATGGGGTACATAGGCTTGAGAGCAAACGTAGTGGGGGCTGAGAGGCTGCTCTGCTATGGGGGAAGCCCTGCTGAGATCTTCTGGCCCATGATTTCATGTTCCAAGATATCTGCTGATCCTAATTAGGAGTGGCAGTAAATTGTGAACCGAGGTTCGCAAGGGAATAATCAGCATATTTTGCACAATGCCATAGGTCTTCCAATTCCCACTGTGTCACAGCAGAAGAGAAACAGTATTGCTTGAGCTCAACTCCGGTTGACTTCACTGACAAGACTTTAGAGAGCAAGGTACTGAAATGTGCGACAAAATACTGGACATGAAGCACTACTGCAGTTTGCTTCTTCCCTCTCCGATGACAGGACAGAGCCTATCTGCCTCTCCTCTGAAATCCTCACGGTCAACTCAGGCTGACCACAGTGGTGGTCACTGTGCCTGTGCTATGCCTCTGCCCCAGAGGAGAGGTCTCCTGCCTTCGAGGAGAAAAGCTGCTGCTTCCACTTGACCAGAGCTGCTTTGCTGGTAGTACTGGTGCCAGTAAAAACCAGATAGCGTGTAATACCTGCATGTGAACGGGTGCAGCTGCCTTCAGCACACAGCAAAGGGTTGCTCCTATTGCTGCCCGAACTGCTCTTCCCCGTCGTAAACCTCCACCTCCGTTGTCCCACAGCGAGCTTCCCCAGGGCTCACATGGCACTGCTCCTTGTTAAAGGAGTTTCAAAGCTGAATGTCCAAGTATGGTAAATGACAGATTGTCTGACTTCTTTCACTGAGGAAACTACTAATTTAAAATATTCTGGAGGCAGTTAGAGAAGGTATTTCTTAGACATGTCTTAAACCATCTACCCAGTTCTTGTATTTCACCAGACTGTGCCTTCTACGTATACTAGACATACCCTCACACTTCTGTATGTTCCTTAATACACTTGGCCCTCTTATAAGGCTAATTATTATTTTACAATTTCATTTCGTTGGAGCTCTTCATTTTTCGAGGAGCTCTAGGGTCTCTTAAGACCTGAGGTCTAAGATTGAGTACTCTGTCTTCTAGCATACAGCTACTTGCTGATTAATTTTCAGAATACTACTAGGTTTCATTAAACGTGCTTTTTTTCGCAGACGCTCATTGCGCTAGCAGAAGCTCTTATTTACCTAAAGCAAACTTGATAGCAAATCACTCGTAAGCTGTCATGGAAGCCCAATATTTTCCTCCGAGCCAGGGCCGTCAGTCATCGCTTCAGGCTGAAGCAGAACCTACAAACGCACACACACACAGTACGCCCTCGCTGCTGGGGACCGCACCAGCAAAGCCGAACTCCTCTACGTAGAGACATGTGGTTTATGAAGAGGAGCGATTTTCAAACAACTTTTATTAAACGCCCACCCCTGAGAGGAGGCAGCCTTCCAAGGGAGCCCGCCCGGCACAGGCTGCCCGACGGCGGCTCCGGCTCCCCGGCGGGATTCCCCGGCGGGCACAAGCTCTCCCTCCCTGCCGCGATCGCACTGAAAACTCGGCTAC